CTATGTTATGAATTATACATTCAAACAATAACACATTAATTCAATTATTCAAAAATGACAAATGTTTATGTGTTGTGGTAGTGACTAAGAAACAGATTTGCTACTTCACGAGAACCCCTACATTTTTATCAATGAAGTTTTATATTATCCTATTGGGCCGAGAAAGAAACCCAACTCCACCAAGACAAGCAGTAAAATGGACCTGAACATAAATCGCTACCCTTTCATAAGAGCGTTTATTCTCGCATATAGCCCGGGCTATTTTATCAGTTTGACAATTGCCGGAGTTGTTGTTATAAATCATCATAAGTAATTCCTGAAAGGGTGCGAGGCTGCTGGGGGGCGGGCGGAGACTGTAAATCTTTCTGTTTTATTGCTCTATGAACATATGCTCCGATTGAAGAAGTCTTAGATCCTTTACTGGAGACAAATTCGCGCAAAGCTGGAGTCCCACCAGCCAAAGGATTAACATTTCCTTAATACTTTTTCAGTCCCCTTTACAATATCTTAATTCTGGTGGTAGTGGCGAAAGTGCTCCTTTCTTTCAGCTGTCCTCCATTTTCACGTTAAATTTGTGGGGTTTTTTTCTTTTTCTTTTTTATTTTTTCCTCCCGGTGTTTTTCTTTTTCTTTTTCTTATTTATTTTTTTTTTTTTGAGCACTAGACTGAAAAGACACCAAAGGGCTGTGAGGCTTTCTCCGGGGGGTTCTGAACTGCCCTCCAAAAAGGCATTTTCTTCTGAATCCTCTTCGTGTTCTTTGCTCGTGTCCAGCTTTTCCTCTCGCACTTTTGTGTAGGAAGCTAAAGACCTCTCCGTCATCCAAAATGTCTAAACAGCGGCCAGAATTATGTTCGGCTTTGTGTGCATGTACACAAGTATGCAGAACACGCTGTGCGTGTAGGGGTTGCTGTATGTACACACAGACACGCGAGCGCGGGGGGCTCGGCAAAACTACCCAGCCACCAAAATATATGGCTGACTGAAAAGGATATAAAGAACCATTACCTCTTACTTGAGGCTAGATTTAAGTGCATCATTTCGAAGAAATATAGGATTATAAATCCGAAGCCATACACAATAATTTACATTGAACTTACGTTTCCATCACTGGACTCCAATCTTTTTATAACTGGTTTGCAAAGTCAGGAAAAGCAATGTAATTTAGATAAATGTTACAATGCACTTACGGTTAGTATTGTTAGGTAATACGTTACTGTCACATCCCCATGCTTTGGATGGTAATGAAATCATAGCAGATGTTAGATTAGGTGTGGTGTATTTATAGCTACAGATACGTTACCAAAAAAAACAAACAGAGAAGCTAATATATATATATATTTTTCTCTTGCCTAACTGGTATCATCGGGGAGCTTTGTGGGCCCACATGACAGATATACACAGGGTTTACTCCATGTCTCTTCATACACACAGAGAAGGGAGGCAGGCTCAGGGCAGACACACACACGCACAAATGTCATGAGGGTTTTTTCTCCCAAAGCTTGTTTAGCCTCCAGGCGGGGGTAGTCCCCGCTGCCCCGCATCTCCATGGTCCGGAGAAGGAGAAAGCAAAAAGTCGCGCACGCCAGCGGGCCCCAGCGCCTGTCCGCCAGAGCAGCGTTGCTGCGGAGCTGCCCCCGGCTCAGGCTCCCGGCCGCAGACGGTTCCAAATACCTCCTCTGTCTCCGCTGGGAATTTCTGCCCTCTGGGATCATCCCGCGGAATTCACCTTTTTCCCCTGCTCCGCCGGCCCCGCGGGGCGCGTAAGTGCGGGGGCCGCGGAGCGGAGCGGGACGAGAGCGGGCTGGGCAGCGCGGGCAGGGGCGCGGGGGCCGCCCGCCCCACGGGGCCCGGCACGGCAGCCCCGCTGCGCGGGGGCGCGGGGAGCGCGCCAGCCTCGGCCCCGGAGCGCTGCTCTGCGATCACGTGGGCCAATATGCCTGTATTTTAAGGCAGTGCCTATATTTCTGATTATAAAGGGATTTCTCCTGCTCGCCCCCAAAATTCATCAATGGCCGCACGATTTAAAACCAAAACAAAACAAGAGCCGGCCAATTGCTGTCTTTGGTTCCGGGAGGCTGATGGCTAAAGGGTTGTGTGTTGATTTTTTTTTTTTTAAAAAAAAGCCCAACAAATTCCGATTTCCACTCGCTCTCTTTTATTGGTAGTTGAGCCTGAGCCTGTTTTCGTTCTATCGGGAATTCTGGTGTATGGAAATATTTGTAAAACCGCAAGATCAGGTTTTAGGAGAGTATTGTCTGCAGACAAAGGGTGAAGGATATATTCTAAGAACTGCAAGCGCAGATCCTGAAAAGTGAGGAACCCAGGTTTATGATAAATTGATACACAGGTAAGCAACTGCATGACAAAAGGGGACGTTTAACCGCAGGGGCTGTATTATCTCCTTTACTCTGAAACGGTCTGGAATTTGTTTGAAATCTCTGCCCGTAGTGGCTGCAAATGTATGGACTGGTCTCCACCTACTTGAACGTTTTAAGCTGTATCTTCTTTTTATTATGTTCTTTAAATAAAAAGTGAACTCATTTCCAAAAGCTAGGGGAATAGATTTAATCCTATCCTTTCCCCAGTTTTCGCTGGTTTCAGGAAGAGAATTACAAATAAGCAAACAAACGAGGGAGAGAACTTTGCTAGATGCTCCCGTTGCCAAAGTGAGATTGAGCATCACGTTAATGCATTGCCGTGGTTAGCCGGGCAGGGGGTAGCCGTGTTGATTTGTAAAGGGCAATTTAAAATAGGCTCATCGGTAATGTAGCCCCTACATAGGATCTCTCAAATGTTCGTGCCAAGTGTGTCTTCCCGAACGTTTTTCCCTGGCAGTGCATTCGTGTTCCTTAGTGGCTGTTGTTTTCCTTCCGCAGTAGTTTTAGTACTGCTGTTACCGGTATGCTCATGCCTTCGAGTTACACATGCTGTTTGATGCACGGCTTGATATTTATCTACCGAGAAGTTTCTTGCCCTGCGTTTGTGTGGTTTGATCAATAAGGCGGTGGGAAGATGCCTAGGGGGGACCGCTGCCTCTCTGGGCGGACTGGGGGTCTGGAAGCGACCACACAGCCTCCCCGCAAACACAGCTCAGCTCCCGCTTGGGCTGTTGCAACTAGTCCCACTCTCCCAGGAACGCCTGTTTCTACTGCCTGCTGGCTTGCCTGGAGCCCGGGTGAACTCTCGGTTATGTCTGTTGTAAAGTCCCTGCGTAAAGCCCAGCGTCGTGCTGTCGAGCAAGAGTGTGTGTAAGGTTGGAACGGACCCTGCCCTCCCCGAGTCACCCGGGCGAGTCCTCGGCGGGGGTCGGAGTGCCCCGAAGGAAATAGGGTGGGAGGCCAGGGGAGAAGGAGAAAGTTAGGGTGTTTGTTTATTTATTTATTATTTTCTGTTGCGTGTTGCTCTGCTCGATCAGAAGTTAAAAGCACTGAACATTTTTCTTAGCTGTATGCCTCCAAGCTGCTGGCCTGCCAAGTTAGTCAGCTGAATCCAATTACTGCAAGCAGCATTTCATTTGGCTCGATGGAAGCACTCACTTATAACTTCACCTAAAATTTCAATAATACCTATATTGGTCCCACGCCTGAATAATTCTAAAGATTTCCCTGGGTTCAGCTCTGGCAAAGTCCTCTCCGAGAGCTGGGAGACGAGCACAACCCCAGCGTGCCCAGACTCCTCTCTCTCCACTGCACAAACTTTGGAGGTTATTCCTGTGGCCGTGGAAGTCTTGGTATTTGGCCAAGCTCTGGCTGAATAAAGCATGTCTAGAGCTAGAAGGCTATCGCTTGTGAGGCTGAGAAGCTGCTTCGGAAAGGGATGAGAAGTCGATAATTAATTAGGCACAAAATGAAAACTTACCGTGTTAATCAACAGCGGCTAACAATGACTCGGTTTGCAATATTATGATCTCTCCGCTCAGGGGCTAAGGTGCAACCCACTTTAGGTTGCCTTCATACACCGTGTAAAGTGCTATTTCTAATGAATTCTCTTTAAAAAAAATAAAGCACTTAAAGTTGACATACGCCCACGTGAATACATTATATAAGACGTTACCGGGACAGGCCCGGGCCAGGAACCTGAGCGAGCATCATGTGTAATCATGAAGCTCCACTTCCCTAACTCCGGTTTGCCAGCATAAATTAAGGTGATTTGGAAGGGGAATGTAGCATCCTACTGAGTTTGGTTAGGGAGAGAGAAGACTTGGTGGAAAGTTGTAAGGTCTGTTGTGTTGTGAGCTATCGGAGGCGCTTCTGTTGGTTGTTCATTAAGTGGTGAGTTATTGCTATATGAGCCAAAGGTCATTTCAAAGGCTTATGGTGGCTAGATATCGTCTTTATAATGACCTGGGCTTCTTTGTGGGGGATTTTCTGGCACTCTTTAAGTTCTTAAAGTCCTGCATCGACACACTGCACAGACAAAGGCAAAATACTCATTTCGAGACGCAAATGTTTGCAGCGCATTTTCAATGCTGGGACTTCTTCGCTTATCTTTCTCTCTCTCTTATTCGGTATCTGGGGGGACAAATGGAGAGAGATCCGGGCTAGCTTCGTTTCCGCGGGACTCCTCGCGGGCCGTGGGTGAGGGCGGCGGCAGAGGTGCTTGTGACCCTCGAAGGTGCCCGCAGCTCCCCGCAAAGGCGCTCCCTTTACCCCCATGCGCTGCCTCCCCTTGCCCCGGGCCGGGCTGGACCGGGCGCTCGGGAAGGCAGGCACGGTTCTCCGGCCGGTGCGCGGGGCCCGTCGGAGCGGCTGTCGCAGGCCTCCCTGCCCGGCTCTGACCTGCAACCGGAGTATTTTGCACGTTTGTTTGCTCCCCGTCTCTCTCAAAGCGTTATTAATAAATGAAGAGAAACATCTACCCTTTGTCTGGTAAAAGCTCTGACGCGGACGGAGTGACACGGTGAGGGGCTGCGGACGAGATGTGCATTTATTAACAAAGTCCTAAGGAAGAAAGTCCAAAACAAAGCAGTTTCCGCTGAGAGTTATCACTTCTGTTGCAGGTCCGTGCCCGCGGATTATCCAAAGGAACCTGAAGATCCTACTCACACATTTAAAGTCAAAAATCAAGAAAAAACGTAAGTTTGGTGAGTTCTTTAAATTTCCTTTTCCATCCATCTCTCGCTTTCCCTATCGCGACAGGCCGGTCGCAGGGAGCAGAGCCCGGCCCCGGCCCCGGTCCCGGCCCAGGCCCGCCGAGCGGGGAGAGCTGCTCGGTGGAAGCCGACGGCGGTGGCACCCGGGGCGCGCCGCCGCCCCACACGTCAGATAAAGAACAGCCCGCAGAAAGCCCCGCTGAAAGCCGCCCCTGTTCCGCGGGAGCAGAGCCCGGCTGGGGAGCAGCCGAGCCCGGCTGGGGAGCAGCCAAAGCCTGGAGCCAGCCGCGGGGAGCGGGTTGCTCCCCGGGGGGGCTCCGTAGCTGCTTTAAGAGGCCCCACGGCGGCCACCGCTCCGTGTCTCGCAGGGCTCCTTCGAGCTCCTCAGTGCTCTCAGTGCCCTCAAAGCCGAGACATCCCCCGGCTCAGGCGCAGCCCCAGCGGTGGGTGCCCAGCTGCCCTGCTTGCGGCTGGGTCCGGCGGCGGCTCCAACGCTTTCCTTATATACAGGGCAGCCCCGGGCCGGCGGCCGGGAAACGTGCCGAGCGGGGGATTCTTTTGCCGGGCTCCCTCCTACGCGCCGGCTGCTTTGCACTTCTGAAAGTGCCGGGGCTTGGGAAGTGTTTTCCTTTTCATTCCTGGCCGGAGCGTTTACTGCCACGGCGCTAGCAGTCATAAATTTTGCTACAACCGCAATGACAGGTGCATTGATATGCACCCTGAGAGCTCCGGCTGCTTTAATAACCGCTTCGCTGGCCGCTCTCACCGCCTCTTATTTATTCGGTATCATATTAGATATTGATCCGAAGCAGAATTAAGTGTAGTGGAAGTTTTAGTAGAGAACCGCTTAATATGAAGGTGTCAGGAGGAAAGAGACCGGCAGTGCTGGGCCGGTGCCAGCCTGAGCCAGCCGGGTTCCGTGCAAACGCACGGGTGGATGCTTGGGCTCCCAGCTGCTCTCCAGGCAGAGCCGTGAGAGGGTCGGCATCCCCCAAAAGCGCTGGAACCAGTGGCAGGACAAAAAGCCCCATTATCATGTGCAACGCCTAATAGTTCAGATGAGGTTAACCTTTCTGGAGAGGAGGAAGGGAAATCTGAAACACAGACATGGATACTTTGCGGTTTCCTACCCTTGGTGCCTCCAAGCCCACCTCCCACGGTTCGGCCTCACCATTTGGATGTCACTCTTTTTTCTTTTTTTCTTTTTTTTCCTTTTTTTTTTTTTTCCTTTCCCCTGGAGGCTGTTTCAGGCCAAACCACCAAGTGTTGAGTCCCCGCTTTGGTGTTACCTATAAAAACATCACCCCGGGCTTTTCACTCGTGGAAAATCAAACCCTGGATAGGTCTCCCTCTCCCTCTTTCTCTCCCTCTCTCTCTTCTTAAGATCTAAAGATGAGCCACCAAACAGTTGAGCATTGTCCATGTGATTTATGGCCCATAGCCTCCTTTTTAGGTTCAAGCAGAGTTCACAAGCCGTTGGTATTTCAGAAAAGAAATAAGGCTTTTAACAGCTTAACAGCAATATTCTTTCTTAAGATTCTGTGTATTCTTTTGGGAACTATATTTCACAAGGCATATAAAAGCCTAGGCTTAAGGCAGTGTTGTGCTAACAAAAGTCCTCAGTCCAGACCGGTCCCGAAAATGTAGATGATAGAAGTGGGAAAAGAGCTACAGAGTTATTTGGACAAGGTTATCACATCGTATTAAAACTCATCTGCATCGCCACCGTCCATTTCTGCAGACTTTTTAAACTAAAATTTTCCAGGAGAGAAAAACAGTTCCCGTTTTCGTCAGCTCCACAGATCATCTCAAGCTTTTGTTTAGGGAAGAAAAGGACCCCGGCAGTCTGTGACACGGGATAAACCGCCGAGAGCGGCCGTGGATTGCAGCACGCTGAGGTTATTTTGACTTACAGAGATGCGTTTCCCGGTGAATTTTAGAGAACAGATCAACGGTATTTGGCGGGACCAACGGTACTTGCGAGAGAAAGAAGAGTAGTCTCCTAGTATTGCATAAGTGTAGGCAGGAGAACTATAATTGTCGGACACCTTTCAAAGATTTCTAGCTAGTTTCCTCTGGTACGTTAGTAAGCTTAAATCCTGCAGAAATATAAGGAAGACTTAAGATACGTTGATTTACAGACTTACAGTGTCAGGTGAAGTATGAGCTAATTTACAAAATCACCAAAAGTGTCAGAGAAAACCTCTATCCCACAAGAAAAATAAGAGCAGGGAATATTAAAGAGCCGCACCAAAATTGCAGAACAGTTTCCATCTTGTACTAAGCACAGAGAAGTTTTGGGAGCAGCGAGGAGAAAGGTAACAGCACCCTGCCTCAAAACATCTGCCCTAAGGGGACCGTGCGTTTTCGGTGGGAGCAGACTCATATGGGAGCCGGGGGCAGGGAGGGGAGAGCCATAAGTTTGCAGGCTGAAAAAAGAAAAGAACCCTCTAAAAATTATCTCAAATGTCTCAGGTTCTTTCTACTGGGTACAAATAAAAGGGAAGAGAAACGTTGGGTGAGGGAATTTAATTCATCACAGAATTAAAATAGGGGAGCTGACCTGCGACTTCCTTTATAGTGCAAAGTGAAGGGAGTGAATGGCGCCGGTTATACTTTAACTCTGGAGGAATCCGGGGAAAGAAGAAGGGCGGGTTTACAAAGGGGACGGGATTTTTCTGCCTCTGCCCGGCCGCAGCCCGGGCTCCATCCATCATGTCAGCCGTGCCCGGCCGTGCGCACGCGTGCCGGGCGGGGGGCGCGGATGCTCTGGGCCGAAATGGGCCAGTGGGTCTTTGGGGACACCACCCAGCACAGTCGCTCACTGAGAGCCCTTGCCTACAACCGCGGGGTCCGCTCCAGCCAAACTCGAGCGGGAACGGTCCAAAGGCAAAACAAAGCAAATGAAGCATCCCCCAAAACGCTTCAAAAGATGGCCTGTAGGAAGTCCCGTCAATGTGTTCCCGTTCCCCCCTTCACCATCGCTCTCAGGTGGCTCTTTCCCCGCAGTGCCGCGGGTCCTTCCCTGGTGTACTCTGCTCTCTTCCTGGCCCGGTTTGCCCTGATTCCTGCCTGGTGACCCTGCTCCTCCCCTTTAGTGCCTTGGTCCTTCTTTGGGGCCCCTGCTCCTTCCTTGATGTCTCCCAGCCCTCCCACGGATGGGAGGCCGAGGTCGAGGGTGCCGGAGTGCGGGGGGTGCCGGGACCGGCCCGTGCCAGCCGCTACCAGCCGGTTTCCCCCTCTAAAAGTCTCTTTTGTGTCCCTGCTGTTTCCCCCTCCCCAGGTGGCTGCGAGTGGCCCGGGCCGACGACGTGAGGCGCGGGGCGGCGGTCAATGTTATTTGAGCGGGGGCCGCGGGCCTCGGCGATCGCAGAGCAGAGGATGCAGAAAGCCGCCTACTACGACAACGCGGGGCTCTTCGGGGGCTACAGCTACAGCAAGGCCGACGCCTACCCCTACGGCGCGGCCCACCAGCCCTACGGCCAGGCCGGCTTGGACGGCGAGTACCCCGGCTCCGCCTGCTCCGTCCAGGGCTCTGCGCCCGGCCGAGCTCCGGCCCACAAGGGCAGCGAGCTGAGCGGGAGCTGCATGCGGCCGGGCGGGGGCGGCCCCGGGGGCAGTCAGCCCCCCGGGATCGGCGAGCATCAGCCCCCAGCCCTGCCGCCCTCCTCCCCGCCCAACCCACCTCCCAGTGTGCCCCCTCCGAAAAAAGCCAAGGGGGGCCCCAACTCCTCGGGCTCGGCCAGCGCCACCCTCAGCAAGCAGATATTTCCTTGGATGAAGGAGTCCCGGCAGAACTCCAAGCAGAAAAGCACCTGCGCCCCCCCAGGTAGCCCAACACCCCGCCCCGACCCACTGCTCGCCCGGGGAGCCGGGCTGAGTCCCTCGGCCTGAGTCCCTGGGCCTGAGCCCCCTGGCTCCGCGCCTTGTCTCCAGCTCCTCTAGCTGCCATCGCCCTCCTATCCTTCCCACACTGTGAGGGGTCCCAGCCCTGCCCGGCGCCGCAGGTGGGACAGGCTGGGGGCGGGGTCCCGGGGACGCCTGGCCGGGTGGTCTCTGGGGGGAGGCAGCTGCGGGAGGGTGTGTGTGTCGGGCAGGGAGGAGTGGGAGGCCACCCCCGGGCCCTCGGCACCCCCTCCCCGGGCGCCGACAGAGCGAGAGGCTATAGCAGGTTTCCGAGGGACCCCGTGAGGAAGGGGAGGAGGGGGGGCTGTCTTTCGTGGGGGGAACCAATGTCTCTTTGTGCCTCTTCCCTGCAGGAGAGAGCTGCGAGGACAAGAGCCCCCCCGGGCCGGCCTCCAAGAGGGTGCGCACAGCCTACACCAGCGCGCAGCTGGTGGAGCTGGAGAAGGAGTTTCACTTCAATCGCTACCTGTGCCGGCCGCGCCGCGTGGAGATGGCCAACCTACTCAACCTGACCGAGCGGCAGATCAAGATCTGGTTCCAGAACCGCCGGATGAAGTACAAGAAGGACCAAAAAGCCAAAGGCATCATGCACTCCCCCGTCGGACAGTCCCCGGACCGCAGCCCCCCTCTTAGCGGCCCAAACCACGTCGGCTACTCCAGCCAGCTCCCCGGCGTCAACAGCCTCAGCTACGACGCGCCCTCGCCCACCTCCTTCGCCAAGTCCCAGCAGAGCATGTACGGGCTGGCCGCCTACACGGCGCCGCTGAGCAGCTGCCTGCCGCAGCAGAAGCGCTACGCGGGCGCGGAGTACGACCCCCACCCCATGCAGAGCGGCGGCGGCGGCTTCGCTAACCCCAGCCTGCAGGGCAGCCCCGTCTACGTGGGGGGCAACTTCGTGGACTCGATGCCGGCCTCAGGCCCCATGTTCAACCTGGGGCACCTGCAGCACCCCTCCTCCGCCAGCGTGGACTACAGCTGCGCCGCCCAGATCCCCGGCGGCCACCACCACGGACCTTGCGACCCCCACCCTACCTACACGGACCTTTCCTCTCACCACACCTCTCAGGGACGGATGCAGGAGGCGCCCAAGCTCACGCATCTGTAGCGGGGCGGCGGCCAGCGGGCCCCGCTCCCCTCTCCATTACCTCACTTTTCTGACGGGACAGTGTTACTGTGCTCTCTAGTGCCAACAGTATCAGTGGATTTGTCTCCCTTAGCAGCTCCCTTCTTTCTTCCGCAGCCCCGAGTAGGTCCGTGAGCAGGAGTCTTTCTCTTAGAGCTGTTTTAAGCATGACAGTGCAATATACTGCCAACCGAGGGACTGATAAGCTGGTAATGATGTACTTGAAGGTAAGTCTTAGAGATGCTGTAGTGTTAGCAGCGCGTCATGCTGAGGTGTTTTAGACCAGTCGTGAGCCGTCGGAACTCGCCCGCGCGTAAGCTTATTTCAGAAAAGTTAATTTATGAGTTCTTCCGTAACGTAAGGATCGCATTGGACTAAATGATAATGTATTTATTATTTTAAGCGAGACATTTTTTGTATCACTGATTATTTATCCTCGTCTTAATGTATTTATGTGGGTATTTGTAGAATTTCTTCACCAATACTTCGGGAGAGGGATTCAGGTCCGTGGTGACTTACATTTCACCTATTTAGTATAATCGGTCTGAGCTAGTTGAGAGAGTAGTCTTGAACAGTTGTAACAGTGGCTGGTGTTCGTAGTTTATGTAAGGATTAATTAAGACAGCAAGTCGTAAATCATTAATAGAGTAAAACAAACTGTGGCATCACACAAAGAGCCGTTACACTTAAAAAATATTGAAAGTATTTTTAAAGTATTTATTTCTAATCGGCTGGCCCCACTCGAGCGCCTCGGTGGCTTGGCTGGCAGCTGGCTCGGCCGGGTGAAGCCACCTTTAGTTGGAAGCGCAGCCGCTCTGAGGAGGCGATCTACAAAGAGGGGCTCCTGGCCGTCTTGTTTCAGATCAAATCCTGCATATAAAAACCTCGGTGAGGTTAACATTTATTTATTGGCTGGGTATCTATCGCGCATATTATTTTGATGGGCTATTTTCTTTCTTTTTATTTATTTATTTTTTTAAAATTATACTCTGGCTATCCAAAATAGAAAACAAATTAGAAGCTTAGAAGGCAAAAAAAAATTAGAAACCCTCTGATTGTACTAATTTCATTAGGGTCTCCATAGCAATCTGCGCAGCAGCTGCCGCCTCCTTTGTTATTTTTATACTGTTGTCTTTATACTAACCATAAATCAATTTTTAGACATCTTTGGAAGCCCGAGCTTTTCCTCTTTTTTTTTTTTTTTTTTTTCCTTTCCCATAAATATAAACTTTGAAAGAAAATTGACAATCAGATACACACAGCCGAAGGGAGACGCTGAGATGGAGCGCGGGCAGTGGCTGGGCGGTGCCGCCGCGCTCCTCCGGTGCCTGGCAAGGACAGTGCCACCCCGCCTGACCGTGGCAGAGGGGCACCACCACCTCTCCCTGCCACAAACACGACAGTTAACACGGGGAAGAAAAAAATAAAGTAATAAGAAGATTAAAAAAAAACAGGAAAAAAGAAAGGGAACCCTTGCTCTGAACCCTCGTGTTTCCTCATCTCTAGTTACACGGCTGTATTGAACTCCTCGCTGGATTTACAGAGATACTTCTTTTGTAAACGCTGTGATTAAAGTCTCTTCCTGACAGTACATATCGCTCTGAGAAGACTATTCTTATCTCTTTCTATAAGTGTTGAGTTATATATTAATCCAAACTTCTGTATTCCCCACCAAAGTGTCTGATGCATCACTTTCCAGTTTGACAAACACTGCAGCTCCTACTCCATCCTCTAATGACAGACCTGGCATTCCTATTGTGAGAAATATTTTACCAGCTCCCATCCTGGTCAATACAGACAAGTTTTCTTTCATTTATTCTTCTTTCCCATCCCTGCTTTCTTCCTCGCCATTTGGCATTTTTGTTCAGCTGAGCACTAATGTTTCAAAACATTACATAGGGTTTTGTTTTCCCCTCTTTGAGATTTCAACAATGCTATGCTACAGTGAAAAGTGTATATTTTGTTAAATTTCACTTTTAACCAAGCAAATTTGGATATACGTGTTACAGATCTGTAAACAAAACAGAACAGAATAAACTGCTTTGTTTGGAGACATATTTTAACCCTTTAGAGCCCTAAAATTGTATTCTATGGAAGTTTTCACACAAATTGTTTCTTAGAAGCACCACCCAGGAGTAAACAAAACATTGAAACATCACAAAAAGTAATGCTGGACACCACTTGTGATTTATACTTCTGTAATATGCCATAAATATATGCATATGTTTGTCTCTCCAAAACTTTCTGCAATCAATGTGCTCACAAACAAAATTGTCCATGTAGGTTTTTTGTGTGTTCTTGAAACACAATATATTTTGCATCACCTGTTTCCATCTGCGAAACAGCAAGGCACCACTATTTCCACAGGACACCCAGTGTCCTTTTCCCTTTTGCTTTGTGCTCTGTAGGCTGTTAGTCAAACAGTATCTGCCCTGATTTACACTATTAATCCTTCATTAAATCTGTTAAGAAAGAAAAGGCTGTTCAGAGATGTGGGGAAGGAAGGGAGTTCAGAGGAGCCCTGACCACAAACACAGTGTTACTGAGGCCCACTGCCCTGAATTGCTTTCATATTGCAGGAAAACGGGGCTAGCAGACATGGTTTCTAGCGGGGGAGGAGGAGCATGCGTGAGGGAGAATCTTCTTGTAAATAAATTCACTTTCTTCTCCATGACTCTGGCAGAGGCATCTTGTTTGTAATGCAGTAGAAGTCCATGATGATAACCTAATTATTAGAAGTAATGTAACTTTAGCAAGATCGCTGGCATTTTTACAATGTTTGTACAAGCATCAGCAATCTAGAGGAGAGATACACTTTGGCACAAGCCAGACTTTTTCTTGGCCCACCATTTAAAACTCATAAATTATGAACAACCCCCTTTCACGCTCAACAGGAGCTCAGCTCCTCTGCAACAGCATCTGATGTGATGAACTCCAGTCACCTATATAAAACACAACTAGTCAGCCAAGGCCAGGCCTGGGGCTGATCTCAGCCTTGCCTTTCTTTACAAATAGGAGACAAAGCACCCCTTCCTTTCCTTCCCTGCTCCTTCCATCTGCTCCAGACCCATAAAAGGGTCAGTGAGCCAGGGCCTCTAAATACCGGCAGTGATGTTGCACTATTTAGGATAGGGAGCACTGGTTGAGAGGTGTCAGGGGTGCACCAAACTTCAGTGAGGCCGTGCAAATTCTTCTGTTTGGACCAGCATGGTTTGGGTCTCCACTTTCTGGTTTTTACAGTAACCTACCATTTAATGGTGTTCCAGCAGTTTCCCCAGTGCAAAAAGGAGCTGAGGCTTTGTGTTATCTCCATGCTGTCAGTGCAGGGCTGAGCATCCCGTTTCTTTCTGAGGGGGGGCCCATTAGTGTCCCACTGTGTATGGCCTGGTGAGCAGCACCAGGGCAAAGGAACCTAGGCACAGCTAGGGTCTTCCAGGGATGCCACAATTTTGTAGGTGCCACTTCTGTGGAAAGCCACTTCTGTGCTGGAAAAACAAAGCCAAATGCCTCCTGCTCCATTAGCAAGTACTTCCTGAGCAGACACTGCAGGCTCCCAGCCCTGGTCGCTGGGCAGGCTAGTGAAGGACTCAGGGGCACCCCCATGGCTTCCACCATGAGACCATACCAGGGTCATCTGGGACTGCAGGCATCCAACGATGAAGAGGAGGCAGCTGGCTGCAATCCCAGGAGGCAAGGGCATGCAGGAAGGGGGCTGGCTAAGAAAGAGGGAGCCCACCAGCATCAACTAGAAGTCCCCTGACTTTCTTGAGGGCCACCTGGGTCTTTTGGGCTCCATGGCAGAAAGACTGAAGGCAGGATCCACCACTGAGGTGTCTGCACTTCTCCAGCCCCATGGAAAGCCCTTTGAAACAGCCTGCAGGGAGGTCCAGGCACTAGAAGGACTACTTGACTAGGAGAAAAAACAGGGTCAAGGTGGTGAGGCTGCTGGTCTACCAGTGGGGAAGATGCCTTGCTGACAGCTGAGGAAAGGAGCTGCAGGTTGTGATGCCATCCTTCTATGTGCCAGCCTGCTGTCCATGCCCAGTGACCACACACAATGTCAGCCTGGCGAAGGCACAGTCTGCTGCACGGTGGACAGAACCAGATGTCCAGCACTCCACTGCAGACTTGACTGGGAATAAAAACTGGAGCTGGGCTGGTGCTGCCAGGGCAGTTAGGGTCGTGGTGGTTGGCTGGGTGTCACATGGTGGTATACATCGATGAACAAGATACCTCTGCTTTTAAAAGGTGCAAGATAAGCTAGACCAGAGCTCTGTTGCCTGCAGCCATTTTTCAGGGACTGAGTGGCAAGTTAATCCCTGAACTGGCGATGTCTCTCTGTTCCCACATGTGGTCCCACCACCCAGCAGTGGGTACCCTGTGATCCTTGCTTGGAGCTGGGCTGCCAGGGGAGTGAGAGGGCTGGCTCTATTAAAGGTCATCAATCACACAAAGAGCACTTTTTACTCGACAGTGGTTCCTCCTACTTCTGCTTGGACCTGAGCCAGCTGGGACCCGAGCAGAAACCCCATCCAGGAGAAGCAGAACACAGTCCCAGAGCCTGAGAGCAATGGAGTAACATGGCAGGACCGAACCCGTTTGGTCACACAGGCTGAGATACATGGTGGGACACAGTGAGGTATCTGTGCCTGCACACCCCTAGGCCTCTGCAGATGCTGCTCAGGAGCAGACGTGAGTCTTTGTCTCTCCTTTTGCAGCCCAGGGTCCTGAGGCTTTCTGAACTTTCTGGGACGAATTACAGAAAAGCTCAGCTGCAGTGACCGTAAGCACAAAGCAGAGTGAAAACAGCAAGGAATTTGTTACTAGACAGGATAGATATTTTCTGGGCAACAATACTCATGAACGTAGAATTTGAACACTAGGGTTCATTTTTTTTATTTGCAGATGTGCAGTTTTTCTTGCAACAGCTGAAGTTTTGGGAGCGGTAGGCAATCCCATGCTGAGTGAGGTACACAGCCTCAATCTTTCTTCCAAGAAACCTGGTCCACATTTTAGGATCTTCAGGAGCAAGAAAGACTAGACAAGACAGAAATCTTGGCTGCAAACTCATTGACACGTGTATTTTGCACACAGCAACATGGCTTACCTTGACACCTCTGGGTTAGCAGTATGTGTAATATCCACCAAATTCACAGCCATGGGACAGGAAACAGGGCTTTACATGGCAAGGGGCCAACGCAGAATCACTCTTCAGAGCAAATCTTTACAAAAGAAGGGATAGACTTTTCTCTGTGTCCATATAGAGGATATTTGTCATTAATCCCACATACTGGGAGAACAGAGGTTCCTGCTCCAGGGGTCATCTGGGAAAGAGGAACTTGTGGCACGGAAATATTGATGGCAGAGAGAAACATACCTTCTTGAGGACTGCTGTGACTGCCTGCAAGGGCTGTGCTAGTGTGGGAGCTGAGGATGGCCCCCCTAGAATGCCAGAACAATTCCCCATGTCTATTCTGGTGTCTCTGTTCATCCCTGGTTTTACTCACATTTTACAAAATAAACTCCCAAGGGCTTCCCCTCCTTCTGTAATAGCCTTTCTCCCAGGAGCCTTTGGTGGTTTGTGCTAACAGGGCCAGTGGTTAATACCCAACGTTTGTTTACCTCCCTTGAGGATGCCTCCCCACACCAGAGCTGTCTCCACACCATGGATGTACATCCTCATTTACCACTGAGAACCAGCTTGGCCCAGCTGGCAGTGTTGTAGCAGCAGAGGGGTAAGAACAAGGTAATGCTCGAAGCACACCTTCCAGGCCTGGGGGGTGGGGAGGGATCTGTTGGATCTCCTGTGCGTTATTGTGACAAGTACAAAGGGTGGACTCTTGGCCACGTGTTCCAGTCTCAAAGCAGTGTCTGTGGCTCAGGCTGCCATTGCCTTCCACACACACGCTGCTCAAGCAGCCTCCCTAAGGTGAGTTACTGGTGTCTGCAGCCAGTGGGACTCAGGGCTTTTTCCAGCATCATGTCTTGGTTCTGCAGTGCTTTTCTCAGGCTTTGTAGAGGCCCTCATATTTCCAGAAACATGGTGACACAAGGACTCATTTGTTCATTGTTCTCACAGAGGTTTTTGCTACAGCAGCTCCCCTGTCTCACCATCACTTGACTACTCACACAGGCATCCCTAAACCTCACAGCTATTCTCAAATTGTCTCTGACACCATCATGTTTTTCACATTCCTTTTCCCCTCACTTTTCTTCTTCCTTCTTTTGGCTTCCAAGGAGTTCTTCATCTTTCCCATTAGACTCCCTGTAAAAAAACAGCAGCAGTCACTATTCTCTATCCTTGGAACTTAACTATTTAAGTCTGAGCACTGAAATTTTTACATGCAGAAAAAGCACCCCCTCAAAAGCCAGAGCATCAACGAGAGATGTTTTGCCTGTATTTAGCCACTGATTTCTGCTTTTGTCACCCTTGAAAAGTCCTGCCAAAATGAACAGAAAACTTGTAACAGCATCCAGCTGGGTAAATGGAAAGATCGTATGCTGGTGTGAACATAGACAGCTTTTCTAGCATTTAAAACAGTCTTAGGTGTAATTAAACCAGTTGCATTCTGCGAACACAAGACTCAAGTAAAGCAGCAGCCCTTCTCTGGAGCCAATTTTCTTTCCTTCACTGCAGGCAAGAATTTTTACAGCAGGGGAGACTGAAGAGCACAGATGCTCTTCTGCATGGACAGCCATTCTCTGCTAAGGAGAAAACCTCGTGTTCCCAGGCTTCTGATTTTTCAGAAGATAACATTTTCCAAACTTCTCTGATTGCCATGGGAGTGCTGAGGAAGTTTGTATCATCCAGAATTTAACCCCTTCCTCAAAATGTATGTTTCCTGACAAAGTGTATTTAATTTAAACTGTTCTTCTAATTTATACTTGAATCCACTGAAAATAGAAATTTAGGTCATACTCCATTGTTAGTGTATTAGGGCAGCACAGCCCATCAGAGTGAACAAGTCTATGCCAGGAGAACATCGAGCCTAGGGTTCTGAGATTTCAGAGCCCTGTGTCTGTAGACTTGAAGTTCAAGAACCCTTAAGACATAATCTGTACAACCAGCCTTTGCTCTGTAATAGTTGTTTTATAGTAGATGGACAACATTAGCTGGGGAGAAAGTGGGGTTGTTAGGAGGCCATGTCACTGATCAGAGTCCCTGTGCAGGGAAGCGCTCCTGTACCTTTGCAGGCTTGCATTGCACTGCCTGTCCCAGCAATGTGTCCTCTCAGGGCCCCTGCAGGAAAAAAACCCAAACAGGTCTGCTCTAGATTCACCAGCTGGGTATAATGGTGGAGCTGAGCTGTAGAGCACAACTCTCCATGGGAAAGAGTTGATACCAAGTCAGTGAAATGGTCTGATTATGTCTCCCCATTATATCCTTTTCCTGTCACCAGTCCAGCCCTCTGATATCCACAGGAGACCCAGTGGAATGTTTCCTTCTCTGGGGATTCTGGTTGCCTTCATGAGGTTGGCAGCATGCTTGGTCCTTGCAAAATTTGTGGCTTCTTCCTAACCACAGCAAATGGCACTTTGGCCAAGAGCTTGTAGAGCTCCTTGAGCTGTTGAGTGGAAGGCACTGGGTGATGGATGAAGGCATATAAATTTCATGCTTTTATTTAGAAATAAAATATATTTTTTAATAAAGTACAACCCTTGCATTTCCCAGCTGACTCCACATCCACCTACTAAGAATTAGAAAGTTGCAAGTCTATCAAAGCAGCATCTTTGTGTTCCTTGTGTGTCCAGTCCCAAGTTACCGAAGCCCAGGTGTACTCTGCCCAGCACACCCTTCTGCTGCTCTGAACTGCACTTACATGTGGTTATCTGCTGAGGCATTGGATGAAACCCATCATTATCCAAATCAAACATCAGCGTGGCTCAGACTGGATAGTCAAGTGTCACTTGGAGACATTTAGGGAAAGATGATCACTTTGAGAGTCCAGATTTCACCTCTTTCACCTTCATTATTGTTTCCTGCCATTCTGGGGGATTGAAAACCAGGAGAGAGTTGGACGATTTGGCCGGGTAAAGCAACTTGGTGCTCTCTGCCAGCTGTAAACACTCAGTAAACAATGCCGAATAGTCAAGGGAAAAATAAAAGTCCATTAACGGTGTGAGCCTGTTAACGGTGAGAGGATTCATTTTTGAGAGCCTACAGAGCACTTATCTGATGGAACGATACCATTAAGTGCCACGGCTGCAGTAGCAACCCGCGCCCCGCCCCAGCCTCCGGGTGTGGAGACCTGGGTGTGCCCGTGGGAGCCTCCAGGAGCCTGGCCGGCTGCAGGGCAAGGGGGAGCGCAGACCCGTACCCGGACGGGAGCCTGGATAGCGGGAAAGCGCCCACTCACTTTCCAAACTCCCGGCAAACGTCCCGAGCGTGCGGCGACTCCGTCGAGTCCATCGGGAACGGCCTGTGCCGGGGGAATCCGGGTGCGGCGCGGAGGTTCTGCCCGCCGGCCAGGGGAGCTGGCGGCGCCCGGGACCCCCGGCGGGGGCTCGCCCCTCCCGGCTCCCATTGGCCGCGGGGCGGGACGTGCCGCCCCGCTCCAGGGCCTATATTAGGGCATATTGGCCCGGCGGGGCGCGGTGTTGCCCCGCGGGTCATGGACCTGGGGTACTTCGCTCTCTCCTTTCCGCCGGGGCTGTGCCCCGGGGCCCCGCAGGTCCCGTACCCCCATCGAGGGGACGACGCCTTCCTGGCGCCGGGCACCACGGCCAGCGCCGCGTCCCCCCCGCAGGCGCTGGGGTACGCGGCGGCTGCCCCCGCGGGGCTGGGCCCCGGCTGCCGGCCGTCCCGGGGAGCCGGACCGCCGGGCTGCGCTACGTCCGTCCTTCCCGGGAGCGGCTGCCCGCCGCCGCAGGACCCCGACCGCCCCCGGCTCGGCTCGGGCGGCGGGGGGCTGCGGCAGCTCTCGCCCTGCCCCGAGGCCGCCCCTTCGCCCGGCTCTCCGGCTCCCGCGGCTGCCCCGGCAGAGCCCCGCACCTTCGAGTGGATGCGAGCGAAGCGGAGCCCGCCAGGGAGAAGTGAGTGGGGCGGCGGGGAGCGGGCGGGGGATGCTCCCATCCCGGCTCCCCTCTGCCCTTCTCCCGCCTCGACCCCCGCCCCGCTTCCTCCCCCTGCCTTTGCCCCCGCTGAAGCGCGGTGTTTTTCGGCGTTGCAGGCGGCGAGGCGCCGTGCGGGGGGGAACCTCCCGCCTGCTCCGCACGCACCAGCTTCAGCACCCGGCAACTCACGGAGCTGGAGAAGGAGTTTCACTTCAGCCGGTACCTGTCGCGGGCCCGCCGCCTCGAGGTGGCCCGCTCGCTGCGCCTCCGCGACGCCCAGGTGAAGGTCTGGTTCCAGAACCGCCGCATGAAGCAGAAGAAGCGGGAGCGGGAGGCGCTGGCCGCCCCCGCCGCCGAGCCCGCGGCTGTCCCGGGGGGCCCCGCCTGAGGCTCCGCCGCCCCACGGAGGGACCCGCGGGCACGTCGGGGCTGGGCTGGAAGCTGCGGCCGGCGGGGCACCCGGGTGTCCTTTCACGCGGGACCGCGGAGGTGCAGTTCCGCTGCCGTTTCTCTTGCAACTTTATGTACAGCTTTATTTATGAGGATTCAGGGAAAACCGCCGGCCCGGAGCGCCGCTGCTCCGTGTCGGACCGGGCCGAGGCAGCGGGCGGGTGCAGCTAGGAGTTAGCGGCTCCCTAAGGCAGGGCTGTGAGCGGCTCTGCCAACTTCACTGGGTTCGGGGGCAGGTGGGTGCGTGGAGGGGCTGCCCCATGCTCCCGACCGTTTCTTCGTTTTGCATTTAAAAAGACAGATCCATGGGTTCAGGCAGAGGTGATGCAGAAGGGGAGAAACCCAGAGAAGGCAGGGCAGGAGAGAGCAGGGAAACCTCCTCTTGCAGGAAGGGTCAGGGATGGTCATGGCATGACTCCAGGATCCCCTTTTGAAAGAGGTGTCCTTGTCTTCTGCCCTGCCCTTGGCAAATCTGATGAAAAAAAGAGGCTGTTTTTGCTTGTATTCATTCATTCATTCATTCCCCTTCTTTTTCATGATGTGGCTGATTTAGTTGAAAATCTGTTTTTGATAGAAAAAACTGCGAGGTAAAATTTAAAAAGAAATGAAAGTCTTAAGAGTAGCACCTCTTTGCTTTTGAACTGCAGAGGTGCTGGGATTTCCCTTGCAGAGGCTCTGGGCAGCCCAGGACTGGCCAGCAGCTGCTCTGTTGACTCCAGCTGTCCACATATCTGTTGTATCCACATATCTGTAGACAATATAAAGCCCCTTACAGCATCTAGGGCCAGATTCAGTTCATCTAGCTCTCTCAGTATTCATTGTATCTTATGGTTAAAAAATTGCATCATTATGAATCCAGTTTGCAACAAATCTCACCACATGCAAAACCTCAAGACCCATTGAAGCTCAGAAAGATGCTTGGGTTTGACCAAAGGCTAATGCTGCCAAAAGGACAAGAGGATTCCTGGCCTTGAACTTCGATATTTGCACAAAAAAGATTGGCAATGTTCCCATAGATAAAATAATGGTATCAAAGCAGACAAAGGAACCAAGTTTAGACTTTTTTCCCATTTGTACTTGGGAAAGCATAAGAGCATTGTGGAGAGGAATGACATCCGGATTTACATGAAGATGATTTTATTTATTTGTGGACAGGGCAAGTCTCTTTCTGCCCTGGATTTCTGCTGTGTGTTGGACTTTGGGGTGAAGAACCAATTTTGGGACCAGGGGAGATAGATGTCAAGGGGACCTGTGAAATGCCCTGGGTCCCTGTCTGGAAGCCAGCCCCAGACACCAACTGTTAGTCTTTGTTGGATGCTTGCTGGGTAAAATGAACACAGAGAGAAGATGAAGATGGGTGTCTCAAGTCAAAAAGTCTGCAATGAAGAAGATTCTTACTCTCTGTAATACTTTCCACTCCCCCAGGAGCCCTTCTGCTTAAGGTTTTCTGCTGAAGACCCTGCTGAAGAAGCCACTGCTGATGGAAGCTTCAGCAGAGGTTGGTGGGAACCCTGGGAAACTACTCCCAAAAGCTGGGCAGGCAAGTTGTGATGATGTTGTGGCAACAAGTCGACAGCTAAACGGGGGCAGGAGCCTCCTTGGCAAGGAGATGGGTGCTCCCCCATAGTGAACATCTGAAGGAAGGGACTTCCCAAGACAGAAGGGTTTGGTCACACATCATATCCTGACTGACCCGGCAAAGGACAACAATGCTAGAGGCTCACGGCTGTGCATGCACACAGGCACATTTTTGTTCTGTATATAGAGTCATGGTTCATGTCCCTGGGGCTGGTTCACTTCATGGGATAGGCCTAAAAATTCCCAGGATTGAAGTACTCGTGTGAAACTAGCTGCAACCAAAATATGTGGTTTGCAGTTCTTCATTAAAGTAATGACAGCAAACAAGCCTTTATAGTGCAGGCTGATCATTCATTAAAAACCAGGAAATAATATTTCTGCCTTTTTTATTTTTTTTAGGTGCTATTTAAAGCAGAATAAAGCAAAATCTGGTAAAATTAATGAAAATTTGAATAAATCAACTTTGTTTTGCAAGTTGAATTTTAAAGGCAAGTAAACTACTAACCAGTTCTTTTCTGCAGCTATTGTTAAGGTCCATTTTTATGAACTCTCTGTTACTACTCTTTCATTTGTTTCATTTTTATACTACAAATGAGCATAGACATACAGCTAGAATAACCCATCTTTCTCAGAACATATGTTTCACATACAAACTTTAGAAAACAGCTGTATTTTCAGTTGCCTCCAAGTTTGTCTCATGTCTATGGGGTTGTCTGTTTGTCAGCCTTTTATTTTCCTAATGATTTTGACATTTGTGCCAGGCACTTTAGGAATGCTTTCTGTATTGCTGGCACACTCCTGCACTACCAGCATGGAAAGAAAGACTCCCATTGATTTCAGTGGTACTGGATCACACCATTAGAACACACTAAGTCTTTTACAATGAGTGTTTTTGTGACATATATTTTCCTGAATAAATAAATACATGTCCTGGCCTTGTAGCAGTGCACAGTTCTGTATCCATCAAAGTGACACAGACCAAATGCACAGAGATTTACTCTGAAATTAAGATGAAACCTTATGACTCTTTTATGGCAGTCTGAATCAATTTGGTGGTATGAGCACAACTGTATTCTGTCTTAAGAAGCAGTACTTAATATTAAGTGTAATTTCTGCTCACATGACAGGGCCAGTTTAATAAGATCTTTCTCTTCACAGACAGTTCTAGCTGTATGAGGATTAGATATTGCTCCTTTGCACTATTCTGTCAGCAAGATACCCGAAGGAAGGAGATAATATAGGTCATGTGCCAATTCTTAAATAATTAAATAAAAATGCCTGTGATATCCATGGGTGCACACATGAGACAAATAAATGATAGATAAGGTCTAAGATTCACTCATTTAACATTAATCCCAAGTGTTGTGTCTCACACATGCTCAATTTGATGCTGAGGTAAGAGCACAAGCTGCAGTTTTCACTGCAATCAGAACAAAATACTCCAGACTGGACTCAATAGATACCCACCACCATATAATTTATCACAAATTATGAAACTACTATTTCCTGGCCTTATTTTTCCTCAGCCATCATCAGGAACCACAGAAAGACCATTTTCTTTCAGTCATATATTAATTTTTGCCTACTGACTGTTGCTCAAAGGGTCCCAGGCTACAAAGGGATATGAACAAAATAATTTTTTATGTGTTCCCATTTTGCCTGAAACAGAACAAAAATATTGATTTGGAAGGCTTCCAAGAGGAAAAGGAGTTGTAAAATGACTGTTCCTAAGTGGTATACATGAATGTAGAGATTTCATTTCTTTGGATAGGTAAATGATAAGATTGCACGTCTTTGAAAACCACACTTAGGCAAGAACCCAGGCTTGCCTGGGTACCTGTCTTCCCAAGATTTAGTATGTTACTGCTTGGAATTACAGCACAGGGAACACTTTGCTGATGGTCAGTGACTCTGTTTTATGGTATAAGCTGCATATCCAGGTTTATTTTGACCATGGAAGTAGCCAGCAGTAAGCTAGAAAACAAAAACATGCAACCCAATCCCCCATGTTTTGATCTCCTTTTCAAAGTGTCCCTCTCCATTAATTATTAGTACAACCTGGAACTGTGGTTTATGCAAATAATGGTACATATATTGATTGCTAGCAGAGGAGAACAGACTATTACTTCTTTTAAGAAAAATCTTTGCAGACAAAATTAAAAATTGCAAGCATCTCCTTGGAGTTCCAATACTTGTGTCTAGCAGCTAAGAAATCATACTTATGATTTGTTCTGCACTGCCTAAGTGTCAAGGAACCCCCAAAAATGCTTGCAAATCCGTGATGACTGAAGAGAAATAGGTATGGAGAGAAACCCCAGATGAGACATGGCTGTCATCAGTTAATCATTAAGAGGTGACTGAATTTTAGGGGGCACACATTCTATTCTATTTGCAATATATAGTTACATACAGCTATGTGTTTATGTGATTCACTTAATCTCAACCATTGTTTTTTTTTATGACTTTTCCTAATGTCAGGGAACTCAGGAATCTTTGGCTAAGGAAAGTCACCCTGATAAAGAAAGGTGAACCAAATGACAAGTCATTCTTCTCCCTATCATAATAATATCTATTATTCACATGTCTACTTAACCACATCTCTAAAATGCCTCCCAAATAATTCTGGGAAATACATAGGGAAAAGATGCTTCACAAAGCCAATGTCCTACTGCAGCTTAGCTTTATCTGGAAGACTTTTGCTGTTCTTGATCATCAGCCAAGTGAGCAAAGTAACCCTCAGCTGTAAATCTTGCTTGGCTGTTTAAGCCAATTTACTCTTACACAGAGTGTTAAAATCTCAGCTGGAGATACAGTCCTGAGACCTTTTATTAAACTAGACAACGCTTCCTTTACATGGAAAAATAATTAGACAACTGGTCTACAAAAGAGCTTTTCATAAACAATTTTGGTACTGTTGTGTTTTTGTTTCCTCAAAAGGCAACAGCCACTGGTGATTAGCAGATTGAAAACCAGCAGTTTAAGAAAACAAACACACAGAGGAACAAATCCAGTCAGTTTCTTTTCTACTAGCCTAGCAGACTTCCCACCACCTGGAAAATAAATCTTTTTTCTATGCTTCATCAGAAAGCATAGTATAGCAAATAATAGCAAAAAAAAAAAAAAAATCATCATTTTATTCTGAAAAATGTGGCATTTTTAACCAGGATGGCATATCATGTCTTATGGAGGTGTTTAACAGGTCTAAATCAGTCTGGCCCATGGCCCTGACCTTAGAGTGAGATCCCTACACAGACTAGTGTGGGGGACACAGCTAACCTGGGAGCTTGAGCCCTTACACAGGGAACAAGGACCTTTGCAATGCATCAATTCATGCTGCTATGGGTGAACATAAAATTCCAC